CAAGTTTCTTTTAGTTTTGTTTATTCTGTTACATTTTCACAATTGCTCCTTGAGACTTCAACACTAATTGCCGGTACAGATGACAGTTTCTTTTAGTTTTGTTTCAATTTGTCTATGAATGACAGTTTCTTTTAGTTTTGCGACGTCTCCCATTTTTATGGTTTAGTGTAAAGTATGCTAGCATTTTGTGCTTTTGTTTCGTTTACCAACGTGAGGGTAAGATCCCCCTATTTTAAGTCCGTTCTAGCATCCATGACATGGGTTCACCACCACATATATGCTTCTAGATTGTCCATTGACAGATGTTGGATGGCTAATAGTTACTTGGTTCTAGGTCACCGGGGGGTTTTTGGTCTTTCTGAGTTCAAGGTCATGATTTACCTTTCAAGTTCCATTTATCCATTGATTGTCGTTTTTTAATGGTTTTGAGAATTTATTGATTTAATTTTTCTTGTGGATTGTAGTATCATTTATTGTAAAGTAAGTTATCATTTTGTAGATTGTGTGGGTTGTTTTTACATATCACCGGTATATCTCCACCTAAATGCTCATACCTTGTCCATTGTGGGTACGGACGACAGTTTCTTTTAGTTTTGTTTCAATTTGTCTATGAATGATAGTTTCTTTTAGTTTTGCGGCATCTCCCATTTTTATGGTTTAGTTTAAAGTAGGCTAGCATTTTGTGGATTGTTTTTTTGTGCTTTTGTTTCGTTTACCATTGTGAGGGTAAGATCCCCCTATTTTAAGTTCGTTCAAGCATCCTTGACATGGGTTCACCACCACCTATATGCATCTAGATTAGACGTTGGATGGCTAATGGTTACTTGGTTCTAGGGTGTTTGGCCTTTCTGAGTTCAAGGTCAGGGATTTACCTTTCAAGTTTCATTTATCCATTGATTGTCGTTTTCTTCTAATGGTTTTGAGATTTGATTGTCTAAATATGGTTGCTTCAATTAGTTTTGTGGCGTCTTGCCCAGCTTTGTTGTTTATCAATATGTAAGCTAGCTTTTGTATATTGTTTTTCTATGATTTTAATTTTTTACCATCCCCGAGGGCATGAACCACCTATCCTCACTTGGTTCAAGCATCCATGACCTGGGTACACCACCACCTATATGCTCCTGCCTTGTCCATTGAGGTGCGTTCGGTGGCTAAAGGTGACCGAGTTTGTGGGCGTTTGGTCCTCTTGAGTCCAAGGTCATGGATTTAGTTTTCGGCTTCCATTTATCCATTGATTGTGATTTTTCTCAACAGTTTTGACATTCAATTGTTTCAATTTCTCTATAGATGGTAGTTTGTCTTCTATTTTTATGTAAGCTAGCTTTTGTGTAAGCTAGCTTTTGTCTTCTTTGTTGTTTATCGYTATGTAAGCTAGCTTTTGTGTTTTCAATGATTTTAATTTTTTACCATCCCCGAGGGCATGATCCACCTATCCTCACTTGGTTCAAGCATCCATGTCTTGGGTACACCACCACCTATATGCTCCTGCCTTGTCCATTGAGGGGCGTTCGGTGGCTAAAGGTGACCGAGTTTATGGGCGTTTGGTCCTCCTGAGTCCAAGGTCATGGATTTAGTTTTCGGCTTCCATTTACCAATTGATTGTGGTTTTCTCTCAATCGTTTTGACATTCAATTGTTTCAATTTTTCTGAGTTCAAGGTCATGATTTACCTTTTCAAGTTCTATTTATCCATTGATAGTCGTTCTTTTAATGGTTTTGAGAATTTATTGTTTTAATTTTTCTATGGATTTAGTATCATGTAGTTTTGTGGTGTCTTGCCCATTTTTTTTGTTTATCATTATGTAGATTTTGTGTATTGTTTTTCTATGATGTTACCTTTTTACCATCCCAAGGACATGATCTGCCTATCCTCACTTGGTTCAAGCATCCATATCATGGGTACATCTCCACCTAAATGCACCTACCTTGTCCATCGAGGGAAGTTTGGTGGCTAAAGGTTACCGAGTTCATGGGCATTTCTTCCATCCTAGTCCAACGCCATGGATTTATTTCGACTTCCATTTATCCATTGATTGGTGGGGTTTTTTCAACGGTTTTGACATTCAATTGTATCAATTTTTCAATAGATGGTAGTTATGTTTAGTTTGCTTCGTCTTCCATTTTTATGGTAAAGTGTAATGTAGGCTAGTATTTTATAGGATTTGTGGGTTGTTTTTTGTGGTTTTGCTTCGTTTACCATCCTGAAGGTAAGATCAGCCTATCCTCAGGTTGTTCATGTATCCATGTCATGGGTGGTGTCTTGGCCATTTTTGTTGTTCTATCATTATATATGCTAGCTTTTTGTATATGTTGTGTGTTTTTCTATGATTTTCCTTTGTTTACCATCCCAAGGGCATGGTCCGCCTATCCTCATTTGGTTCAAGCATCCATGTCATGGGTACACCACCTTCTATATGCTTCTATCGTTGAAGGCGTTAGGTGGCTAAAGGTTACTGAGTTCATGGTTGTTTGACTGTTTGGTCCTTCTAAGTCCGATGTCATGACCTTTCGACTTCCATTTATCCATTGATTGTTGTTTTCTAACAATGGTTTTGAGATTCAATTGTTTTAATATGTCTAAGTATAGTAGTTTTGTTTTTAAGTTGTGGCGTCTTCCATTTTTATGGTTAAGCGTAAAGTAGGCTATAATTTTGTGGGGTTTTTGTGGTTTTGCTTCGTTTACCGTCCTGAAGGTAAGATCCGTCTATCCTCAGTTAGTTCATGCATCCATGTCACAGGTTCACCACGGCCTATATGCTCTTGGCTTGTCCATTAAGGGGMTTTGGGTGGCTAATGGTTACTTGGTTCTAGGGTTTTTGGTCGTTCTGGTTCAAGAAGGTCATGGATCTATTTCTTGGCTTTCATTTATCTATTGATTGTGGTTCTCCTGGTGTTGAGTTTGATCGTTACAATTGTCTGTGGATGCTAGTTTCATTTTATTTTGTAGCGTTTTGGTGTGTGTAGCATACCACTCAAATATATTACGTCTTATTGGTTTCATTAATTTTGTTAACTTATACCGTTGCTATTTCACATTTGTCCGTGAGACTTGTATGCTAGATGCACTAAGAGGCTTCATTCAAAAGTCTATTTTTTGGCTTGTTTGTCATACATGTTTGTTTACAATCGCATTTTCAAAATTGTCGTTTTCTTCTAATGGTAGTATCATTTAGTTTTGTGGTGTCTTGTCGATTTTTTTTTGTTTATCGTAAAGTAAGCTAGCATTTTGTAGGTTCGTTTTCTGTGATTTTACTTTGTTTACCATTCTATATACTCCTGGCTTGTCCATCGATGGGCGTTACATGGCTAAAGGTGACCGAGTTCATGGGTGTTGGGTCATTCCGAGTCCAAGATCTTGGATTTAGCTTTTGACTTCCATTTATCCTTTCATTTATGGTTTTTTTAGAATGGTTTTGAGATTCAATTGTCCATGGATTGTTTGGTCTTTCTGAGTTCAAGGTCATGAATTTACCTTTCTACTTTCATTTAACCATTGATTGTCGTTTCCTTCTAATGGTTTTGAGAAATGATTAATTTTAATTTGTCTACGGATTGTAGTATTTTGTTTTGTGGTGTGTTTCCCATTTTTGTTGTTTGTCGTAAAGTAAAATATGAGGTGATAATAACATAATTTTCGTATAAAGATAATAATTAAGTATTCTGTTAGAACTCAATAATTATCTTAATTGTATTTTAGATTTTTTTATATTTAAAATGAGATGTTTATCATGTATTTGATTATGTTTATCTGCAGTTAGTTACACAAATTCAGATATGGAGCTTTAATAAGTTGTACTTGCGTACAATTTACTTGCAATCTTAAGTTTTAAGTAATATGGGTTAATAAACAGTACTTTACGCTTAAAAAGTGGTTTTTAAGAGTTTATGTCAAATGTATTATAATATAGTATATATAAAAATTAATATAATAAAAAAATTAAATTAAAAAATTAGACAAAAAATAGGAATTTTAAATAGTTAATTTGATACTAATATCGATATATTTTTGTCAAATTTTTATGATATTTTTAAATTTATATTTCATTCAAAAATAAAAGCATCATCGTTTTTTTCAAAATCACATAAGAGCAAGAATAAAATGAAATATTAAAATCAAGATGTATCTCGCTGCATTACGCTAGTATCCTTCTAGTTATATATTAAATTAATCCTGTGATTCGGATATTTAGATTTTAGGATATATTTAGTACACTAGCTGACGACTGATAAGCTAGCTGATAGCTGAGCTACCTGATGAATAAATCATGTTTGGCAAAATTAATTGATAAGAATATAAAATGATCAAAAAGGCATCTTGAAATATTAATCAACTATAATATTTCAAAATATAATTGAAACAAAT